CCACACAGTCACCGGGGCCCTGGCACCACCACTCCCTCAGGCCCCCCCGCACCCCCGGGGCCCCGCCCCCCCCCCCCCCCCCCCCCGCGGGGCGCCCCCCCCCCCCCCGTCCCCTCCTTTCCACAGAGAGCAGAGCCTCAGGGGCCCACCCCACAGCTCAACTCTGGCCCAGGCCCTGCCCCGCCCCACACCTGGTTCTCGATGTTCTCGTCGTTTCGGATGAAGCTCTCGAAGTCGACGGCCGGCTGCCAGGGGTCGTGCTGGGCGTACGGGCTGCTGCTGGTCGCCTCCTTCTCGTGATGCCGCGTCACCGCCAGGTGGTACCTGCCAGGGGGGGGATTCCCCGGCTGAGCCCCGGTCCCCCTGTGGGGCGCGGCCTGGCGGGCTCGAGGGAGAAACCACCGCTGGGCAGGCCCCCCCCGGGAATCCCCCCACCCCAGCTCCGTTAATGGGCAGCGGCCCTGAGACCGCCCCGGCCAGCGCAAGGTCCCACCGGCTGCAGGTCAGCGCCAGCCCCAGAGACCCCAGGACGCCCCCTGCCGGGCCCGGCTGCCCCAGCCCCGGGTACCGCTCGGCCCAGGGCGCTGGCTGCTCCCGCGCGTGGAGTGGGGGCCCCGCTGGCTGCTGGGTCCCGGCCTTACCTAGGGCGACCAGACAGCAAGTGTGAAAAATCGGGATGGGGGTGGGGGGATAATAAGAGCCTATACAAGAAAAAGACCCACAAATTGGGCCTGTCCCTATAAAACTGGGACATGGGGTCCCCCTGGCCTTACCGTCCCCAGGCGACGCCCCGCTCCTCCCTCCAGCCGCGGGGCAGGACGCGGCCGGCCTGAGAGCTGTACTGGATGCGGTAGCTGCGCGGGTGCCCCCAGCGGTTGCGCTGGGTCGGGCTGGAGAAGAGCAGGTACCGGGGCAGGGCCGTGCCGAAGGGGAAGGCGGCCTGGCGCTCGCTCCGGCACCGCCGCCGATGCAGACGGGGCTGCACGACCCGCTCGCCCGCGCTCCAGGGGTTGGAGATGTTCTCGAAGCGCACGTCCAGCGTCTCGAAGCTGTTCTGGGTGCCTGCGGGGGGGACAGGCCATGAGGGGAGGCCCCAGCCCTGCCCCCCCGGGGACGGACGCTCTGAAGGGCCAGGGTAGGGGGCTGGGGCTGACGTTCCCCTGGGCCCAATCAGTGTCATGGGAACAGGACTCCTGGGTCCCTCCAACCTCAGCTTGGGGGGGCCCATCTAGGAGCAGCCCCTGGCCCGGGCACTGGCGGGGGGG